TTCCTTGCCAGGACCCTGGGCAAGGAGTTTCGCCTCCCTGGGCCTGTGAAAGGGAGCTAATGATGTCTACACATGCCTCATAGGCATGTTTAAAGAGAAAGGATAAAGCCCCTACCCAGATCTCAGCCCCTTGTAATGACCTGTCTGTCATTAAAAGTTTGTTTGGGAAACTTGGCCTGTCACTGTGGTGAACTCCCCCACCCAGGAGCCAGGCTCTTCCTAGTCCTGTGAGCCATCTTGATGTCCTTCAGTAATGCTTTAGAGTCTTTTATAGGTTTTATTAATTCCCGATGAATACTCTCAGTGTTTTGTAATTTTGTTGTGATTTTGAATGACTTCCCTCCTGGTTCTTCCTTCCCTAACACTGACATGTCTACAGGTGACACTGAGGCCTGTGGTTAAGAGCACAGGCTGTGGGTTCAGGAAGTCTAGGAGTCCACCCTGGGCTCTGGCACTTAGTGGTTGGCAACCTAGCCTCTCTAAGCTTCAGGTTCCTTATTTGTAAACAGAAAATAATAATGAAAGGCTACTCCCAAGTTTGTTATAAGGATGAAATGAGATCATGAATGTCAGATGCTCAGCTCAGGACCCGGCACATGTAAACCCACGATAAGCAGTAGCTCCTATGATGGGGGAGGTCGTTTCTGTGAAGGGCCTGGAGATGCACATTGAGTTCGGGGCGACAGGCTCCGCCTCTGCTCCGAGTCCTCTCTGGCTCCGCTTTAGCAGCAAAAGCCGGGACAGAAGCTGCCCTCTGTTTTCCTGCCTATCTCTAGAGGCCGGAGGACCTCAGAGGTGTTCAAGGGACTTGAGTTGCATTTTGAGGTCACAGAAATGCAGACGAGGACACAGGGGGCCGCAGGACTGGCCTCCTGTGCATTTTTCTCCCCTCCTGTCCTCCCTTCTCCAGCCTTCCCAGCACTTCTGGGCTGGGGCCGCCCAGAGCAGGAGTGAGGCTGCATTCAGCACAAGCCTCACTCATCAGAGCCCCATTGTCAGCGACTTCATAATGCCACTTCCCCAACTTGTAGGCGGAAGGGCTCTAGCTGGCTGCGCTGGGTTCAGGGAGAGAAGTGGTGTCCTCAGTAGAGGACCTGCATCGGGGCCTCCACAGCCACAGCTCTCACTCAGAAGCAAAACCTTTGAGATCCAGAAGGCATGTCCTGCTGGGCCCAGTCATCAGCATGAACTGTTTTCTTTGCAGCTGGGCCTACAGAGAGAGTGTCCCCAGAGTCTTCCCAGCATCTTGGAGCCGGGGTGTCCTTAACACTTTGGAGAAGAGGGTCTCAACCCAGGAGGAACTCCCCTCTTCCCCCTCCCTTAGCTTCAGAGTAACAGAAACATTGCTGCTGGGAGTTTGTGGCTCATGTGACTGGTGTAGATGCAGAGAAAAGAAATGCCAACCACCTTTCCAGAAAATTTGGAAAATAGGATTCCAAGGACATTTTTCATGGCAGTGGTAGCGTTTCTAGTTCGGAAACTCACTCACTGCGTGAGGAACATGGACCAGCTGTCACACCCACTGTGGCACTGCCATGACTCAGGAGGAAAGGGAGTGATTTAAGGGCACTTGAAAAGCATCTGTACATTGCTTAAGGTACATACACCATGGGTACAGCAATGTACTCAGTCCAAGGTAGCCCGGTACCTCCCCAACCCAGTGGTACCTGGGTTGAGGACAGGTACCAGAAGTGCCTGACCCATGGGATAGAACCCCAAGGGCTGTCCCAGCCTCTGCTGAGTTCTGAGGGGAGAGGATTAGGGCTCCTTCAGGGGCTCTTCTCTTTGGTGGCAGATGCCCTATTCAGCCCTCCTTGGACGCAGGCCTCTCAGCCCCTCACCAGCAGGGTAGGTGCTGGGAAGCAGTCCCTGTTGTGCCCTAGACTGTATTTTAAGGTGTGATTTGCTTTGGTATGGGAGGAAAGGGAAATTTCATTTGTTTTCATGGTGCCCGTCCTAGGAGAAATGGATCAGAAAAACTCCGGAGGTTCTCAGATCTGAAAGGAGAGCGCTCACTGGGGCCAGGCCGACTCGCCAGAAAGAGAAGCAAATCTTGGGGCTCGCCTAGGTGCCCAGAGGAGCAGCCCAGCTTGGGCTGGCAGTGCCACGCCTGCCTGCAGCCCCAGCCCAGAGCAGAGCAATGCTGAGGGGAGGCTGCCTGGCTTCCTGCCTGAAGGCAGGAGCAGCCCTGTGTGTCACCCCATCGTGCCTCTTCCGTTCCCCAGCCTCATGCCACCCGGTCCACAAAAGTCCTCCCCTACCTTATCCTTCCCAAGCAGTCCTTGTCACCATGGTCTGGTGTGTCAGCCAACTGGGTCCCAGGGCTCATCTGCCTGCTTTAAAAGAATTTAATTCTTGACAATGGGGGCTTTGGCCTGGGGTCCCACCTAGGGGAAGCCCCAAACCCCAGAGCTGTGCTGTGAGGAATCGGGGGGCAGGCAGAGTGCCCTAGGTTCCAAGGTGGCTGAGGCTGCTCTCTTCCATCCACCAGAGGGAGGGCCTGCTACTGCCATCCCTCAGCGTCCACCCCAAAATGGGGCTTCCACTGAAGTAGAGGCCCCTTCATTTTAGGGCAGCTTAGAGAGCCAATGACGGTCCCTCCACCACCCCCACTGCAGCTCTCTTCAGGAACCACGGTGGGTTGTGTGTCAACCCCTCACATCAGTGGGAGGAGATGCGAGGAAGAGAGGATACAGGCTGAAGTCTGCGGGCTTTGTACCCTGTTTTGAGCGCGTTGCATCTGTGTCTTAATGAATCCACAAGGCGGTCCAGGAGTGATCTGTTACCCCCAGGTGTGAGGAGGATCACTTGCCCAAGGTCACACTGCCAGCAGCCAGAATTGGCAGTCAAATCTGACTCCAGAGCATCCCACACAAGGAGTTGCCTCACTGCAGAGCAGGGACCCAGCCCAGGGTGGAGGCACTGCCTTATCCAGGCCCTCCGCTGACCCAATGGGGTTTTGTCCTTGACTGACCTTCAGTTCTAGATGCACCTTCTCCCTCTGCACATTTGGCTTTGACCTCATTCCCCTGCCCCTTCCCAGGCCCCATAGCTGTCCCTGGCTGCTCACTGACATGGGGGCCCCCAGCTCCCCTCCAGGGCTCAGTTCAAAAGCCCTCTCCATCTTCCACCTGGCTGGTCTTCTCCCACAAGGGCTGAGGCCAGTGGCCAGGCCTGCTGCAGGGCAGTGTGAAAGCCACCTGGGTGTAGATCAGGAGGGCCGGCCTCTGCCCCCTCACTGCCCACCTCTCCACAGGACCAGGCAGGTCATACAACACCACCTCACTTCAGTTTTCTTCCCAGAGTGCTGGGGTTGGACTGAATGGTCTGAGGTCCCTTCCAGCCCTGAATCTGTGTGGTCCTGACTCTGCTCCCTGGAATACTAATGCTGACCGCTTAGAAGCGGACATTCTTCCGTAAGAACGGGACTTGTTTTTCCTCCTATTTGTGCCTCAGTGTTCACTTCCCTCCAATTTTCATTCCATCCACTCTCCAAAACAAAAACACCCCTCCACCCCCACCTCAATTCTGTGGCTGTCTTTAAACTCAGATCACGCACTAAGGTACAACTGCAGCCCAGAGAACAGGGGTACCGTGTTGGTGCCCAGAGAGCTTGACTCCTCCTGCCAAGAGCCCAGCCTGCAGGGGAAGAGGTGCTGGGCGGGCGCTGATGGCCCGGGGACCCTCTTCCTAAGGCATCCTCCTGGGGCCTTGCCGAGGGCAGGGGACACTGCCCTCTATCACCTCTCCCCATGGCTGTCCCTGCACCTTTTTCTGGGGGCTTCTGAGAGCAAGTGAGAAGGAGCCATGAGCCAGGGAGAAGAGCCACCATCAGCCAGAGAAACATCTAGACTCCAGTCACGGTCCTGGGTCTTCTTCCTCAGGGACAGCCCCGCAGCAGAGGTGCCAGCAGCCACCACTGGGGATTCAGGGAGGACTGTGGTCTTCTCAAAGGAGGCTTGACAGCAAATCGTTGCTAGGGAAGCGAGGAGAATGGCAAGATAGCAGTCCCAGAACTGTATCCACCAAGAAGTCCTCTGCCCACCCTTCATTCTTCCAGATTTTCCCACCTTGTGGTTTCAGTGCCCACAGCAGCCACCCCAGAGCACACCCCAGTAACTACGGACAGCCTCACCACCTCCCTCCAGAGAAGACAGGGCTCTGTGCCAGGAGGGTTTGAGTATTCACCTCCACATTCCTTGCCCTGGGCAGATGGACCAGTGAGGACCCAGAGCTGGGCACAGTAACTGCTGTGAGTGGATTGGGGGCTGGGAGGGTACCGCCTGGCTCCTGGTGAAGGCAGAGGTTGGACTGAGAACCGTGGGAGAAAGGTAGGCTGCTCTCCCAGAGGCTGTGCCTCTGGCAGTAGAAGGAACCCTGCCAAGGGGAGCCAGTGTAGCTGGCCTTTCCCTGAGGCAGGGTTGGGCCCTCTCGCTCACTCTTCCTGGAGCCAAGCTGTAGGGCGAGTTGCCTGCAGGGCTGAGCGCACTATCCGGCCCCATCTCAAGCCACACAGCAGAGCCATTGAAACCAGGGCTGTCACCAGAATTCCCTGGAGCTTCTAAAATCCAGCTGCTTGGGCCCTATTCCCGGCCTTCCTCAATTGTCCCTCAAGCAGAGCCTGGGTGCCCAGGGGCTGGTGTTTTTCACATGCTCCCTGGTGGGTTTGGTGCACATCACTCATTGGGAGCACAGATGCGGACCAGCATGAGCTCTTGCTTGGAGACTGCAGGCCATATGCCCCCAGCTCTCAGCTCTGGGGCCCTCTCTACGCAGCCCTAGGTGTGGCAGCCAAGCCAGGGCCCCTGTTTTTCACCCCACTTAGCATTCCTGGTGTCCTCAGAAGTCAAAATTTCATCCAAGTCGTTTGTTGGTTTTTCCTCCTCTGGAAATGGCCAAGGCTGACTTGGCCAGATTTCCCAGGCACCTCCCTGTTAGCAAGTCACAAGGCCCGCAGACTGGGCAGGAGCTTGAGTGAGCCTGGGTGAGCCCAGGCGAGCCCAGAGATACAGAGGACTGGGCCTGTCCCCCCACTGCTAACAAGACCTAGCATTTCACACTGGCCTGCTCTGTTCCAGACTCTGTGCTTGGCCCCAGTGAGTGATCTTAGTTTATCTTCACAATTAGACAACCTTCATGGGTAGGTCCCATTGTTTTTCCCATTTCCCCTAAGAGGAAACGGGGGAAGTTAAATAACTTGGGCCAGATCTCACTTAGGTGCTCCATGAAGCCTAGTTTATCTGTCCATCTGTCTGTCTGTCTGTCACACACACACCCCCTCCTCCTGCACATCAAGGCTACGCCGGGTTCCGTCTATGTCTTTATGTCTCCGATCCCTCTCCATGATGGCCCATTAGGTGGGAGCTCTGTGAGGATGGTCCATCCAGCCCACAGTAAATGCTCAGAAACATCTATCTGAGAAAGTGAACAAATAAGAGGTTGGCTGGAAGAGGAGCTCATCTCCTTGGGCGTACCCCACATCTAGGGCCCGCCCCGCTTCACTGGGCCCTTCCACAGCAGATTGGAAGCTAGGCCTATGGGGTAGAGCCTGCATCTTAGCTCAGGGGCTGTGCGTGGCTTGCAAGTAAACCAGAATGAAGCAGGGCCCTGGAGGGAGGCAGGAGCCCTCTCCTGGCTGCCATGGCCCCTGGGCTCATCACCTGGTAACAGAGCCATGGCAGGTATGTGGCACCACTCATGCTGCCTTCAGTGCAGCAGGCACCGCCCCATCCCTGCCCAGCTCAAGGGGAGAATTTATAACCCTGAGAACGTACGCTCTGGGTCAGGGCCCAGGATGATGCAAGTGAGCAATGGCTGGAATCAGCTGGAAGGAGGGGGAGACCTTGGGGGATGGGAGAGAAGGCAGAGGTCAGGGATCTGGTCTCCACCGTGTCTTATCCGAGGCTGGCCTTCCTTTTCTCCTTTACCCTAAGAGGAATGGCCGCTAGAGTATCCTCAGCTGCCAGAGCCACACAGTGCTGTCACTATTCATCAGTGGAAGTTAGGCACAGCCGCTGGCATATGTGGCACAGGGCTGGGCACTGAAGGAAAGGTGGCAAAATGTTTAAACAGAGAATGCCGTCCTCATCCCCAAGGGCTTGTGTTCAAAGTCACACAACACTAAGATTTATGATTTTTTTTTTTAGGTTTTTTTTTTTGCTTTACCAAGACAAACCATTTTCTATCAGGGTGGTTTTCTCAGTGGGAAATAAAATAGGTCTAGGCCTAAGTAGTGCAGGTTTCCCGCCAGCAGATCTAAGTGTTCTTCTTTTAGGCAACACTCTCCTTCCTTGTTGCAGAAGGCAGGGCTGCTGTGAGCCCATGCAGACTGGGGCATTTCTCAGAAGGCCACCCCTTTCCCAGGCCAGGGCCCGAGCCCGATTGCTGCCTTCTGCAGCTCGCGGTTACTTTCCGTCCAGGGCGGAGGCCTCTGGTCCTGGTGTCAGCTGGTGCCAGTGCCTTCTTCCATGCTCTCAGCAATGGGAGCCTTGCTGTCCTTCCCTTGGCTCCCCCAAGGAACTCTTCCTGGGCACAGCAGCCCGGCTTCCTAGGGTGAGCTCTCTGGCTGATGGAGCCATTCCATACATGGTCAGGGACCAAAGAGGCCTGGCTGCACCCCTCACAAAGGAAGGGGCCAGGCTCCTGCGTGGAAGGAAGCAGAAGACCCCGAGGTTTTCCATCCATGCCTGCCCTCAGGGCCTGTGCACTTAACACCAGCTCCGCTTCACAAGAAGGAGCAGCTGGACCTGACCCCGATCTCAGGCAAGGCCCTGCAACCTGGCAGTTCCGGGCAGAGGCATCAGATAGCCTTTGACAGTGGCCTGCACTGGGAAGACCTCAACCTCCAAGGCCTTTAGCCTGAATTCGCCTCTCCCTGCCAGTACCAAGCGTGTCCCTTGGAAACATTCTTGCAGCTTCTTCCTGGCCAGGCCTGGAGAGGGCCCAGCTTGGGGATTTCCTGTCAACACAAGAAGGGTTCCCTCTTCAGGAGCTGAGTCAGTTGACTTCTAGGACCTCATCAGCGGCCCAGTGGCCTGTGTGAACCTTTGACAAAGTCTCTTAAGGATAAGTGGGTAGAGTGAAGTAGGTGGCCTCTCCTTCCATCCCCCTTGGCAGAAGCTGCTCAGAGCCATCTGTCTTCCATTTCCTGTCCAACGCTGCAGGTCAGCAAGTATTTCTTTAGTTTAGGCTGAGTGCCTCGTCCTGGGACTTTATGTTCAGGAATCTTGGTAGGAGGTGAGAAGGGACCTTCCGGCCTAGACACTTGACGTGCAAAGCTGGTGTCTAGTACCCAGTTGTTCCCAGGATGTAAAGAAGCATCCGCAGCACCCTGGGGAGTGTGGGAGCAGGGAGCCTCCCGTGCTGAGGTCTCTTAGGACTGGTCTGGGACCAAGTGTTGGGACAGTGAGTGCCTGGGTGGACCAGTCAGAGAAGAGGGGAACAGCCACCATCCCAGAGAGACTAGGCTTTCCCGCTGGAATGCAGTGGGGCCACAGCCTGTGATGGCCCCACCCAGACACTGACCCTCCTCCCATGTTGAAATATGCCCTTTGCTGGTGTAAAATCACCTCCATGGAAGGCAAGGAGCCCTCTCCCCTCACCCTGAGGCCTCCTGAGAGCTGCTCTGTGAGATTCTGCCCACATCCAGGTGCCAACCACCCTGACCCTTTCACTCCACTGATGGCCAGCTCACTCCACGCCGAAACCAGGGGCCAGCTGATGGGCCTTCCCCACCCCCGCCTGTCGCCATGGTAACGGCAGGCACTCCTGCTCCTGCAGAATATTGCTTTCTTGTAACCTCCCTCCCTCCCTCTCTTTCCTCCCGTCTTTCTTTCACACAAAAAGAAAGCACAAGTGTTTTATATTCATTTTGCAAAAAAGCTGTGTAGCGCATACTAATTGGCGTGGCTTCCTCCTGCTTTCTTTGGGCCTTTTCTCATCCTCAGAGACGGGACTGCCGGCTCCAGCCAGCCTGCTCACTGGAAGGAGGACTAGGTCTGTTTTCCTAGAGGCTGATGCAGGAGTGGCCTGGCAGTGTGTCTTCAGCTCTTGAGAGGGACACACAGACAGCCAGGCCACTGAGATCACCTTATCCTCGTCGACAGGTTTCTGCCCACACACCAAGGGTTGCAGGGTATCCAGGTAGCCAGAGCACCAAAACCCTGGCCCAGCACAGGGGCTGAAAGCCAGGTGCAACTGAAGGGCAGCTCCCCTTGGTCTCTGTTGCTGGGTCCCAGGGCCCTCCTCTCACCAGCGCCTCTCTTCCCACCCCAGGCAGAGGCAGAGTCCTGACCAAGGTCCCCATCAAGATTGTTGCTCCAGAGCCTCAAGGTCACCCCCTAGTCTTAGTCAGGTTTGCTGGCAGCTGGGAGCAATCAGCAGCTAGACTGGATGGGCACAGAAGCCGGGTGTCAGCCGTCTCCCGACACCCCAGGCCGCACGTCAAGCTGTTCCTTGCCCTCCATCTGGGTGGCGCCTTCTCCTCACGTCTAGGAGGCTAAAGGAAGATGGGGATGCTGTTCCCGGGTCCTGCTTTATTTAAGGACTGGAGGGCTGCTGTGTGTTTGTGCGCACAGGGACACTCAGTGTCGTCCCAGGCAGGGCTGTGGGCTTTTTGCCAGCCTCTGGGGACCGTGATACATAAGCACAAGAGGAGTGGCTGGGATTACTGAAGGAACCTGTAGACAACATTTCCGGCTTTAATTGTGCAATTGAAGTGTAATTTGCATTCATTTGCCATTTGGTGTTAAACTTTCTAAAATAAGAGAATTGAAAATGTAAAATACGCAGCTTTGCTGGCTGCGCTCTGCAGCGGGGCGGGAGGCAGTGGTACCGAGGTGGGCTAAACACGTTCTCTGCAGGGGTGAAAGCAGGGTGGGAAGCCCTTGGTGTGGGCACCCGGTGCTCAGTCACTAAACCCAGGCCAGGGAACAGCTCAGCTGTGGACCAGAAATCTTGGAATGAAGTGGTGAGCCAGCCTTTCTTGTGTGCCTGCTTTTTGTGCTTTGCACATCAAGTGTCTCTCATAACCATCACAACAGCCTGGCAAGGTCATATCTCCATTTGCACATATGGGGAAACTGAGGCTCCCGTCCTCTGCAAAACGAAGTTCAGACTTACTTGTGTGCATCATGAGCTCTTTTTCATTTTGTTTTTGTTTTCAAGACGGAGCCTTACTCTCTCGCCCAGGCTGGAGTGAAGTGATGCGATCTCAGCTCACTACAACCTCTGCTGAAGCGATTCTACTGCCTCAGCCTCCTGAGTAGCTGAGATTACAGGCGCCCCACCACCATGCCCAACCAACTTTTGTATTTTTAGTAGAGAGGGGGTTTCGCCATGTTAGCCAGGCTGGTCTCGAACTCCTGACATCAAGTGGTCCACCTGCCTCGGCCTCCCAAAGTGCTGGGATTACAGACGTGAGCCACCACACATGGCTTTATCATGAGCTCTTGAAGGTCTGGCCCTGCCTACCACTTTGGCCTGATTTCTGGCTGTACCGCCACCTCTGGCCCCATTCCCCACTCAAGCTAGCCCCAGAGCCTAGTTTCCTGGCATGTGCCACGCGGTTCTGTGTCCATGAATGGCTTATGCTAGGTAAGAGAATGCTTTGAGTGCCGTCCTCTCCCTTCTTGTTCCCTTGGCCAGCTCTGCTCAACTACTTCCAGAGCCTCTGGGCTCCTCTCAGGCATTGTCTCTGGGTCCGTGGCACCTGCCCTGTATTATCAGTAAATGCTCACCGTCTGTCTCCTCCAGGAGCCTGTGACCTCACTGAAAGCAGAGCCTCGCCTGCCCAGCCTTGTGTGTCTTACAGCCAGCAAAGGAGCAGCCCACAGCAGCTGCTCAGTAGCTGTCCGGAGAGGGAGCATTGTGTTTAGTTAATCGGTTGAGGGTCAGGATTGGATGTCAGGCCTGTCTGACCACAGAGCCCTGTGTAGTGTTACCAGCAGGCTCGGGTGTGGGGAACAGAGCTGGGTTTGAGGTGGACTCACCGTTACCTTGAGCAGGTGACTCTCCAAATCTCAGATCCCTTGTGCGTATTGTGTGAGGTGAGACTGGTGACAAGTGAGGGCACTCATTGTGGCCGGGAGCGAGGACAGCCTGCTCCTCTTGCCTCCTCGTCCTTTGCAGCCTGGTGCTGGAGCCACTTGAGGGGTGGAGGCGAGCTTGCATAGGCCAGGCCTCTCGCATGTCGGTGGCTCTTCCCAGCCCTCTTTCCAACAGGGATATAGGCACCTGCCAGATACCCAGCGTCAATCAGTTTGTCCCCATGGCTCCGGGATCTTACGAGTGCCAGCCTGGCCCCAGCCGCCCCACTGGCTCACACTTTTCTCCCCACTTTCCTCCCTTGCTGCACGTGGCCACTAGTGTTGGCTGCCCAGAGGCGTGTGCCTCTGTCCCCCTATACAGACAGACCTGGCTGGGATGGGCAGCATGGGTGCAGGGGGCGAAGTGATGTAAAGAGACATCGCCTCACTGTGCTCCTTATCTCTCCTGGATCAGGCAAGAGATCACAGGGAGTGGGTGAGAGCCCTCCACCTTGGGCTGCGGGCAGAGCAAGAGCAGATGGGTTAGGAATTAGGTTGCTGATTTGTGGTTTTGCCCCCCTCTTTTTTTTGTATGATTCTCAGACCATAAAATTCATAAAACCACTCTATTGTATACTTTAAAAGTACGCAATAAAGTAACTTTTAGTATTTTCACAAGATTATACAACTATCACTACTAATTCCAGAACATTTTCATGACCCCAGAAAGAAGCCCTTGTACGCACCCTGCACCCATTAGGAGTCACTCCCTGTGCCTCCCTCCCACAGCCCCTGGCGACTACAAACCCACCCTCTGTCTCTGTGGATTTGCCTGTTAATGGAGTCGTCATACAGGGTGTGGTCTTTGTGGCTGGCCTCTTTCCCTCAGCAGGTGTTTTCAGGGTTCATTCACGAGTAGCAGGTACCAGTACTTCATTTCTTTTTATTACCAAATAATATTCCCTGGTGTGGCCATGCCACGTTCCATTTCTTCGTGTCTCCACTGCAGTGCCTTTGGGTGGTTTCCATTCTCTGGCTATTAGGAATAATGCCGCTGCGAACGTTTATATATAAGTCTGATGGGCACAGATGTTTGCAGTTCTCTTGGTAACCACCTAGGAGTGGGTGTCTACCTGTGGCAGCTCTCTGGGTAACTGTCTGAGAAGCTGTTGGCTTGATTCTTGCCTGTTTAATTTTGGGTGAGTCATTTCCCCACCGCCCCCCGACTTCATTTCCTGGTCTTGAGCCCCCTCCCTGGCCGTGCTTGGACATTCGAGCAAGTATTGGGGTGTGTGGCCTATGTACATCATGCTATGGCAGGACGAATCGGGCAGGACCGCAGCATCACTCACTGCTGTGCTGCTTCTCCATCCTTCTCTCCGCCCTGTGCGTCTTTCTTCTGTGGCTGAAGCAAAGAATCCCTGGAGGTTCTGTCCTCAGTGTAAGCAGAGGCCTCAGCCCTCCCTGCTTCTAGGCTGAGACCCACCAGGGCTCCCCAGCTCCTGGCCTGGGTGAAGAGGCAGCCCCTGCTCCTGCCATATGACTAGGCTGTGTGGCAGCCACGTTTCTCAGCCACGTGGATCATCAGCTCTCCATTCTGTGCACCAGGCCTTGGGCAGGGCTGGCTGTGACTCACCTGTACAGCCCCAGAACCCAGAGCAGCCATTGGCACAGAGCAGGGGCCCACAGACATCCCAGTCTCTGTGAGTGGGAGAGCCACGAGGGGAAGAACAGAATTGGACAGTGGGAGGCGGGTCTGTGTGAGTGCGTCTGTGTGAGTGAGTGCCAGCTCCTGCCTGGGTGAGGCCAGGCTGCGGCTGGCCCGGAGGTTGCGTGCCAACATGTGACACTGTTTGAAGGCTGAGGGGCGGGAATGGGTGAGCAAGCACAGGGGTTCCCAGCGGGTGTGCCAGGGCTGGCCTAGAGGAACCAGGAGAAGAAGTGACAATTGGGCAGTGTGGGAGAGGCACTGCACTGTGTTTGCTATGACAAGAGTGGCTTTCAAGGGGACAGGCCTTATCTTTTTTGTTTTTGAGATATAATTTGCCTTTTTGAAGTATAGAATTCACTGGCTTTTCGTGTATTTACAAGGTTTTTGCAACCATCTCCCCCATCTAATTCCAGAACATTTTAATCCCCCAGTGGGAACCCTATAGTGCTAGCTTTATCTTGTATTCCCCTATTCCACCCATCTGGCTGGTCTTGGCCCACGTGGCCCTGCCCATCAGACCCTGTCCCACTTCCTGGTCCAGGGCTGAAGCCCCTGGTTGCCATCGTTATTCTTGGCCTGGGCTCAGAGTAGCCCAGGAAGAGGTGCAGGCAGCCGCCGATTCACCTGATGTTTGCTGAGCATCTGCTGGGTGCAGGGACAGTCCTGGAGATATACCTTTTTGGGTGGACAGGCACAGTCCCTCTCCAGAGCCAGAGAGGAGTGAGGGGCAGAAAGAGCAGGCAACTACCCACAGTATGAGGAGTTCAGCCCCTGAAGCAGGTACACACACACACAGAGTGAAGCCCCTCCCAGCAGGGCAGGGCCCCAGCCTCTCTCCCCACTGCCCATTGCAGCAGAGTGCCAGCTCATGGTGCCAAGCAAAAATGCGTGCCTTGCGAGAAAAGGCTTCTAAGGATACAGGGACTATAGAGCAGCCCTGGGGACATTGTGACACAGCGCTGACCTGCACTCACATTTGGCACTGGCCCCACGCCCCACCCTGCCTCTGTCTCAGAAGAACTCAGCAGATAGATGGTCAGGCTGGGTGGGGCCTCACCCCACCCAAACCTGTGCAAGGACACTTCAGAGCCACTGAGGACCACCCGACATGTCTGGACATTAGGAAGTCCTTTATCTTGGAGCCCAGAGTAGCATGCCAAATGTGGAGGGCCCTGTAGGGTCTGCAGTGGGCTCGTGTTACCTCTGCAGAAGAAGCTGCTCTGTGGCCCAAGGGTGGGTGGGGCCTGGAGGGCATTTTGGGAGCTTTGTGCATCCTGGAGGCCTTGAAATGCACACTGTGCAGAGAACACCTTGCTTCCTGAGTCCCGGGACTCCTGGGGAGCCTCAGAGTCCAGGTCAGGGGGCCTGAGAGGAGAGGGATTTGGGGGAAGCTGACTTGGCATCTTCGGATTCCAGTTTCCTTCCTCCAGAGGCCCCGTTCACTGTGGTCTATGTTCCCTTCAATCCATGTCCTTTGTGTCACCTTTCTGAGCATGCGCAGCTATGGCCTTAATGGCTGTCCCCAGCCTGCTGTCACCTGCAGACCCCTCCCAGCCGGTGGGTGGGCCACCAACCACACCTCTGCCCAGGTCAGCACAGCTCACGCGGAGAGCTCATCCCTCCCGCCCCGCTTCTCTCCCCAGGTGATCCTGAAGGACCTGGAGGTGCTGGCAGAAATTGCTTCCTCCCCCGCAGGCCAGACAGATGATCCAGGCCCCCTTGATGGCCCTGACCTCCGGACCAGCCACTCAGAGCTCCAGGTGCCCACCCCCAGCAGAGCCGGCCTACTGAACACCTCCGGTAAGTCTTCTCCTGCAGGTTCCGACCTCAGGGGCTTTAGAAGTCCAGGTCTCGGGCTGGACCACGGTAGTCCTTTAGGCTATTGCTCAGGATCTCTGGAGCTCTGCCAGGATGTGAGGGGTCTTTGGGTTGCTGCTGGCGATCTACCACCTCAAGATGCCCCAGAGGCAGGCAGCCCTCATCCTCCAGCAGCCTCCAGAGACCCTCACAGGCCTTTTTCCGCATCTCCCTGCACCTTCGATGCCTTTGAGCCATTGGCTAAACATAAAACCATCGGAGTCGGCTGCTCATCTCTCTGCCTTGGCCCCGTCTCTCCAGTCTAGAATCAGGGGCTTTGGTCTTGGGGTCTTATAGGTGGCCATTTCCTTCCTCGCTGAGAAGCTAAAAATAGCGCTCCATGTGGCAGGCAGCCCAGGCAGGAGACAGTATCATTCACACAGGCTGTTTCCAGTCAGAGAGGTAACTTGGAAATAAAGATGGCCATAGCGTTCCCAGTCCTCGCCTCCAAGTCCCTTCTAGACAGCAGGCCGGCTCTTCTCCCTGGGCCCCGGGAGATGACACTTCCCTCTGGCGATGCAGTCCTGGAAAATGCCTGGAGACACGAGTTGGTAGAAAAGCTCCCAGTGAATCTCAAGTGTCTGCCTGGGGTTCTCTGTCCATTGT